TCTCTCTGCTCTATCAAAATCGTAAGAATATTCGGAGTCGTTATCTAGGTATTTAAAGAACTGCATTCGAACAGCTTGACATATTATTTCACAACCTTTCAAGGTTTTCATATGCGTTTCTTTCACCTTAAATAAAATATAAAAAAACTAGGAATGTGAGCAGATAGAACTGTAGGCCACGGTTTGGCCTTCCAAAATTCAATGTGGCAAACATTACATTCAGCCCGTGAGTTGTTTATATTCAGTCGGTGACAACTCACGAGAAGATTTCCCGTGTCAGTAGGCAAGAGGGAAGACAGAATTAAGATGAGCTGGGCCCAGCGAGGAGGAACACGAAACTAGATCTATACCTACACCTAATACAGGTTAGCGAATACTTACATTGGTGACCCCGAGAAGAACACGTCTATTCGATATGCCAAACATGGACGAGATGTTCGCTGTGTCGCTTAAACTCCCACACTTCTGGAACAAATCACCAGAGGTCTGCTTCGCTCGTGTCGAAGCGCAGTTTGGTACATGTACAAAACAATAACGGCCGACCAGACAAAATACGACTACCTGGTTAGCACCCGGGGCATGGACACCGCAGAAGAAATACAAGCTGTGTTGTTGAATCTTCCTGAAAACGTGAAATACGAGCACTTAAAAAAGGTTCTGATTCAGACATTTGGCAAATTGCAAGCTCAAAAAGACCTAGATTCTAGAACTGCTGAACCTCAATGGTTTCGGGGATAGGAAGGCCACGGCCCTCTTAAGACGCATCAACGCGCTCAACGATGATCCCCAAACTCTCAAACGAGCTCTGTTTTTAGCCAACCTCCCCGGAGAAATGAGAAACATCCTATCCTAGCAGCTCAAAATCACCCGAACCTTGAGGAATTAGCCAGAGCAGCTGACCATATCTGGGAAGCACAGGCAGCTCAGCAGTATGTCAACCCAACACCCTCCTCAAGCTCATTTCAAGTCCAAGCAATGGAGCAGAGAAGCAGACAAAGGTTCGATAAAGGGAACGATGACCCATCAGCAACAGCAAAACCCACTTGCTTTCCGCAGCAAGCCAACCAGAACCCAGCTAACAACAGGTACAGAAACTCAACCTCTTCTGTGTGCTACTACCACACAAAGTTCGGACCTTCGGCCCGACGATGCCAACCAGGGTGCAAGTTTGCCTCATTGCTGACTTCTGTCAATCAAGCTACCCCCTCAAACAGACATGGCGAGTCGGGAAACGACCCAGTCGGTGTCTAGGCGTGTCAGCCACCGGCTCCATCCGTTCCAACCAAAGCACGCTTTCAGTCATGGACACAATCACTGGGGTTAGTCGACACAGGTGCTGAGGTCTCAGTTTACTCAGTCTCTCGCACAGACAGACAAGGCAATGCGACGGAACCTTAGTCAGCAGAAAATAGCACCAACATAGCCACATGGGGTAAGAAAAAAATGTTTCTAGACATCGGTCTTAAAACAAAGTTTTCTCACATTTTTTTTCGGGCGGACGTAACTAGACCCATCCTTGGTTCCGATTTCTTCTTCAAACATGGTTTGGTGATAGATTTGAAAGGTCGTGGACTGCTAACTTCTGAGAGTCTACCACTGACACTGCAAAGCACCCCAGAACCTTTAGTAGTGGCAGGTCTATCAATAACTCCCCACAATAACTTCACTCAGCTCCTACTGAAAGAATATCCTGACCTTCTCACTCCACGTTTTGATTCAACTATCAACAAATACGGGGTAGAACATTACATCGTAACTGAGGGCCCTCCAGTACATGCACGTGCACGGCGGTTGGGCGCACAAAAACTCCAGGCAGCGAAAGAGGAGTCCCGGAAAATGGAACAGATGGGTGTCATACGTCAGTCAAAATCAGCTTGGTCGTCACCTCTCCACATGGTACATAAAACTGAAGGCTCATGGAGACCTTGCGGAGACTATCGCTCCCTGAACAGTACTCAAAATGACCGATATCCTCTGACCCATATTCATGACTTCAACAACAACCTCACGGGCTGCACAATTTTCTCCAAAGTTGATCTCATCAGAGGCTATCATCAAATACCCATGGCCGAGGACTCAATTCCCCAAACCGCCATAGTAACTCCTCTTGGACTCTGGGAATTCGTTCGAATGCCTTTTGGCCTTAAAAATGCAGCACAGTCATTTCAACGCCTCATGGACGACGTGCTCCAAGATACCCCCTTTGCTTTTGTCTACATAGACGATATCCTGGTTGTAAGCAAATCCAGTGATGAACAATTTGCACAGAGTCGCATCCCAAGGAGTTCGACCGCTTCCCGACTGGATCAAAGACCTACTGAACGCACCTGCGCCAAGAGTTCGAAGTGCTCTGCAACGCTTCCTTGGAATGATAAACTACTACCACCGTTTTCTGCCCAACATAGCTGCTGTCCTGGTCCCATTGCACAAGCAATCAAATGGAAAAGGACAGAAAAACGTCTGGGACGACGTCTGCCAAGAAGCATTTATTAAGTGCAAAGAAATTTTGGGAGCAGCAGTTTTGTTACACCACCCAAATCCAGGAGCACCAACCAGTGTAACAGTGGATGCATCCAACAATGCGGTCTGAGCACAACTTGAGCAGCGCAAAGGGAGACTCTGGGTACCACTTGCATTCTTCTCAAGAAAACTTTCAGAAACAAAAAAAAATACAGTGCCTTTGACAGAGAACTCTTGGCCGCTTTCAGTACCATCAAGCATTTCAGGCATTTTCTAGAAGGTCGGACGTTCACTCTGTACACTGACCACAAACCACTCACATCAGCCATCGGATCTCACACAGACCGATCACCTCGGCAGGCGTGTCAGTTGTCTTACACTGTTGAGTTTACAACCAACATCTGCCACATCAAAGGAAAGTTCAATGTGGTAACAGATGCCGAGTCAATCAGGTGTCCGCAACTCGGCCAGAGCAAGCAGCTATAGACAACTACCGTCAGTTAGCGAAGGCACAGACTGAATCAGAAGAAATGGATTCCTACTTGCAAGACAACACAGGCCTGGAGTTCAGCTACATTTACCACAAGGGAGAACACATTTTGTGCGATGTGTCTACACGGACAGCGAGACCAGTAGCTCCGTCGTCAAGAACTCGTCACGTTTTCGACAATATCCACAACTCGTCACATGCTGGAGTGAAACCAGCACAAAAGGCCATAACCCAGCGATTTGTCTGGCATGGTATGAAGCGCCAAATCAGCCAGTGGTGCAAGGAATGTCATTCTTGTCAAGCCTCCAAATTCATCGCCACACTCAGGCTCCACTAGTGCCAAGAGACATACTTTCTGCAAGGTTTAGAAGTATTCATGTGGACCTGGTAGGGCCATTACCAGTAAGCCTAGGTGTGACATACATCTTTACAGTGATCGACCGCTGCACTAGATGGCCGGAAGCTATTCCCCTTCCAGATGCACAAGCCACAACACGCTTCTCCACTCTTTTACATCACTGAGGGGCACGGTTTGGAGTTCCCGAAGACATTACCTCCGATCGCGGACCACAATTTACTTCAGCTTTATGGGAGAATTTCAACCAATTATTGGGAATATCCCGTCAAACCACAACCTCATACCACCCAAAGGCCTAAAGGCCTAAGGCTTAGTTGAATGTTTTCATCGACAGCTGAAAGCATCATTGAAAGCCAGATTGACAGGTAACAACTGGTATGACTCTTTACCCATCACACTACTTGGCATCAGATCAGCCTGGCGCCTTGAACCTGACTGCTCACCAGCCGAACTGGTTTACGGAACCACACTGAGGCTTTCAGGAGAATTTTTCATTACAGAAGACATTCGATCTGTTCAGCCAGAATCTGCGATTCTGAGGAATCTGCAAGAAACAATGCGCAGAGCTCAATCAACCCCGACAGACTATCATGGTACAAGGGCCGAATACATTCCTAAAAATCTGGAAGCTACAGGCTTTGTGTACGTCAGACATGATTCAGTGCGCAGACCACTGCAAAGACCATATGATGGACCGCATAAAATTATCAAAACATACGTCAAATATATCGTTCAAGACATTAATGGCAAGCATGACAAGGTTTCAATTGATCGCCTTAAAGCGGCACATGTCAAGACAATAGACAACACACCTTCAGCCACACGCTCAGGTCGAATTCCCCGACCACCGAGCCGGTTGGCGCGGCACTGGGAGGGGGGTACTGTAGGCCACGGTTTGGCCTTCCAAATTTCAATGTGGCAGTTGTTTATATTCCGCCGGTGACAACTCTCGAGAAGATTTCCCGTGTCAGTAGGCTAGAGGGAAGACATAATTCAGACGAGCTGGGCCCAGCGAGGAGGAACACGAAACTGGATCTATACCTACATCTATTCTAATCCAGGATAGGGAAAACTTACAGAACTTTGTAATTCCAGGGTAGCATATATCACTCGCATTATCTTTGTACAGACAAGATAAGGTAAGATAAGATCAAATACGATAAGTTGCATCTTTATTGTCCAGATCCTGGCACATTGCTTTGGTGTTTCACCACGCACACACACACGCACACACGCACACACGCACGCACGCATGCACATACAGACAGACAGACAGACAGACAGACAGACAGACAGACACACACACACACACACACACACACACACACAAACACACACAAACACGCACACACACACATGCACACACACGCAGTATGCTTGCACTTACAAACAGGTTTACAGTCACGCGCATAATAATATAAATGAACAGCAATAAAAACAATAATATTGTTAAGCTAGATCTAGATACATACTCAGTGTTCTGATTGTAAATCAATGGAATTCTGATGCATGCTCTTAGGTTATGATACTTATAACAAGATGGTTAAGACGGAATAAGTTCGGTGGATGATGGTCGGAATGACCTTCTGTACCTTTCTATGTTACAGATCAGAAGCCAAGGTCTTTTATTTTTTACTTATATTTTTATTTGAGGGAACAAGAGATGTTTATTGCCAGGTGTTTATGTTACAGGTGTTGAAAAAGTATCTGACTGGCGGCACGTGTGGTTATGACAAAGACGGGTCCCCTGTGCGAGTGGAGCTCTACGGCCATCTGGACATGAAAGGGTTAATGTACTCAGCCCGCAAGGCTGATATGGAAAGGGTTAAACTGAAGCAGTGCGAGGCTCACGTGCGGGACTGGGCGGTCATGTCGAAAAAGGTGAGCTAAAACGTCTGCTACTGCTGCTGCTGCTGCTGCTGTTGTTGATGTTACTGTTGTTGCTGTTTCTGCAGCTGCTGCTGCTGCTGTTGTTGCTGCTTGTGTTGTTGCTGCTGATATTGTTGTTGCTGTTGTTGCTGCTGTGCTGCTGCCTTTTATGGTGATAATGACGATAATGATGATGCTTGTTAGTTGTTCTTTGTTGCTGTCGGGGAAACCAAAGAGACGAATTAATACTTTGCCTTTTTCATCTGAATATTTCGATTCCGGTTATTTACATTATTTCCCAGACATCTATTATGATTGTACATTGAATAGGGCGAACAACGAGTATTGTGCTGCTGCTTTTGTTGTTGTCATTGTTGATGTTGATGCTGCTGCTGCTGCTGATAATGATGATGATGATAATGATGATGATGGTGGTGATGGCCATGATGATCCTCTTCCTATTTTAATCCTCCTCCTTACCCTTCCCTTCTCCTTCAATCTCCTCACCTTCCTTCCTTTTTCTTTTACAACTCTTTTTCCTCTTTCTCTTCTTCCTCTACCACCTTCCACCTCCTCCTGCTCCTTCTACACAGCCTCCTCCTTCTTTTTTTCCTGTTCTTGTTCTCCTCCTCCTCTTCCTGCTCCTCCTCCTCCTCCTCCTCCTCCTCCT